GACTTGGGGCCTTTGGACAAGACACTTGCCCTCAGACTGACCTACCTCACATGGGCGGTTGTTACAAGGATAATGCAGGAAGAGAAGAGCAAAGCATGCCACGTTGAGCTCAAGGGAGGACAACAGAACACAAACACGGCCAATAAAATAAATGATAAGTTCTAAAACACTGCCAAGGCTCCTTACTTGCTGAGGGCATCAGATGGTGCCTTCCCGGAATCCTCTTCCATTTGTTCTCTGCCATGATGAGTTGGGAAACAAAAAGGAAAAAACAGCGCATATCAGGGGGCTTTGTCAAAAGTCTGTGTTTTTTATCTGAGGGAACCGTCTACTGAAAACACTGCTTATTAAAGGAGAAAAATCTAGTTACAAAATACAGTGGTGCCTCGCTTAACGACTGCCTCGTTAAATGACGAAACCGCTATACGATGACCTTTTTGCGATCGCTTTTGCGATTGCAAAATGATGTTCCTATGGGGAAAATTCGCTTAACGATGATCAGTTCCCTGCTTCAGGAACCAATTTTTTGCTAAACGACAATTTAGAAACAGCTGATCGGTGATTCTAAAATGGCCGCCCACTGTGCAAAATGGCTCCCCGCTGTGTTTTCAGGATGGATTCCCTGCTTTAGAGGCAGCAAAAATGGCCGCCCCATGGAGGATCTTCGCTGGATGGTGAGTTTTCAGCTAATTGGAATGCATTGAACCGGTTTCAATGCATTTCAATGTTCCTTTTCATTTCACAACACGATTTTTTCGTAAGACAGCAATTTTCGCAGAATGAATTAACATCTTCTTGCGAGGCACCACTGTACTCCCAGGGCATCAAAAGCTTCCCCTTGTATAAGGCATGATCAACCCCACACAGAACCACTATTTTGGGAGGCACCCGAGTAGTCACGTAGTTCCCAGCCAATACAGGAAATCCACAACTACCTCATTTCTCATAGACAGACAGACACCCATTCTCCTCTTAAAACTCTCTGTGAAGGAGAGCCCACCACATTCTAAGGGAACATGTTCCTCTGACAAAAAGTTTCCATTTTTGCTAATGGTTGGGAGTTTCCTGTTTTGCTGTTTGAACTTGCTGGTTTTGGAGAGATCTCCATTGACATCCTTCTCCAAAACTAGTGCCCTTCAGATATATTGCATTACAATGCCCACCATGCTCAGCCAGCAGGCTGAACCACGCTGCTGTGGATACAAAAGGGAGCTGTCTTTTTACATGTATACAAAAAAAGTTATGGATTATCTCTGGTGCTGTTTTCTTCATTTGTAACCTTACTTGTGCCCTTAACTCCACCCAGTGCTGTGAAAGCGCAGGGTTGGAATACGGTTCCCCAAATCCTTCACAAATTGGAATTTGGCCCCAAGAGAAAGCTTCCCCATTCCCTAATCTAAACAAGTGGCTTTATTCAAAGACAACTATCAGGGTTATCCGCCAGTCTCAATGCGTCTTGATAGACACAGAAAGCTAGTGTGATGTCATAGCCACGGCGGGAACTCGTCTATCTAGGCTCAGGTCTACACTCAGCCAGGAATTCTGTGGCTGGCCTTGGGCCAACTGGACTTTCTCAGCCTGATTTACCTCACAGGCTGTTATGAGGGCAAAACAGAGAGGAAAACGCCACATCTACATGCAGTTCACGGGGTGAAAGATGGGATATAAATGTAACTCATGCAATGGAGTACTTACCGGTCAACATCGGTTTTCTCCAGCAGGCACTGGAGCACAGCTTCAAGTCGCGTTCGAGCATTGGCTGTCTCCAGATCTAGAGCAGAGTCACCATGGAGAAGAATTAAATGGTTATTCTTGTAGAAAGCATGCTTCCCACCTCCCTCGAAAAAAAATAACACAGAAACTATCCACTAGTTTGTATACAGAGGTTGGAAGCACTACATCAGAAGTGTTGTTATTACTTCATTCAATAATTATGGCACAACAAAGTTACACTTCAAAAGTAGCATAAAGAAACCAAGTTACTTTACTAGTATGATCAGCAATGTTTTCCAATTACTTCTAAAGCTACTTTAAAAAGAGATTTTAGGCATTTCAGATACACTTTGAAGACACACTTTTTTCCAAGTTTTAATAACAGGAAAGCAAAGAGTAACACAAGAGGTAACAAAGCATGTTACTTTTTAAACATTATGACAAAGTAATAACAACAAATTGTAAACAGTATAACAAGTACAGTGGTGCCTCTGCTTACAAACATCCCGACATATGACCATTTCGAGTTGTGACCAGCTCTGGCTGCAAAATTTTGCTTCGACTGGCGACCGGAAAAAGGTAGGGGGAAAAGGTGGGGAATTCAAATTTGCTACGGTTGGTAGACGAAGAGGCTGTTTCTTTGTAGCTCTTTCGCCCCAACGGTTAGAGTGAGGGCATCGGAGGCGGCTTTGGGACTCCCTGGAGCTGCTTTCTGCTCCTCAGTAAGTACAGTGGTGCCTCGCTTGATGACGATAATGCATTCTGTTAAAATCGCTTTTAAGAGAAATCGCCGTCAAGCGAAATTAAAAAACCCACCGAAATGCATTGAAAACCATTCAATGCATTCCAATGGGCGAAATACCTCAGCGTGTAGCGAAAATCCTCCAGAGGGCAGCCATTTTCTGGTGCCTGTATAGCGAGGAATCCGTCCTTAACACAGCGGGGAGCCATTTTGAAACCCGACAATCAGCTGTTTTTAGATCATTGTAATGTGAAGAATTGGTTCCCAAAGCAGGGAACCGATCGTCGTGAAGCAAATTTCCCCCATAGGAACATCGAAGAGCGGGTCCGTTGTTTAACAAGGTAATCATTAAGTGAGGCACCACTGTACATTTACTTTGTTTTGCAGGGTGGGTTTGGGTTGGGGGGGGCATGTTTCTGTGCTGCAATGTTTTGGGGCTTGTTGTGTTTTCTTTGTGTTTTGGTGTGCTTATTTTTCAGCCCCAGCGTGTTCCTCTGGGGCTTGCAGTTTTTTATTTTTATTTTATTTTCTTCTGGAACGGATTAATCGTGCTCCAATGTATTCCTATGGGAAATGGTGGTTCGATTTACGACAATTTCAGGTTATGCCCATCTTCTGGAATGGATTATGGTTGTAAGTTGAGGCACCACTGTAATGGAAATGAACAATTTCCAAGTTCTGTTAGGAGCCACAAAATCTCATAAACATCCGTGCTTGCAGGTTGCTTTTCCTGCTTCTTGCATTTTGTTTTAATTCCAGTCTCTTTTAATCATCTGCCTTGAGTCCCATTGCCAGGAGAAAGGTGGCATAGATGTGTAGTAAAAAAATTAATAAAATAAACTGTGGTCCATTTCCTTTCCCTATTTCAGGTTGTTGTGTCCTGGAAAACTTTTCAAGAAAAGAGGGATTTCTTGACCAGGTGTTTTTTCAGAGGAATACAGAGGTAAAGACAGGATTCTTCTAGAAGACTGCAGTTCCCCTGCATAACTATAACATAATCTAGCTAAGCAACTAAGTGGCACCTTCAGATGGACAATAGCTTCTCTTTCCTTCCCATTCTGAGCTCAGCTTCCCTTGTTGTTCAGGGCAAACTATTTCTCATCTTACCTGGCTTTTCTGTTTTCACCTTTGTATGCAGCATCTTTACCAAAGGTTCAGCTTCCTGCAAGAGAAAAAAATACAACATGTAGGAACCACACACAAATCATTCGGTGCTGGAGATTTCCGGCATAGTGGTTAAAGTGATGTACTAGCTCAAAACAGGTAAACACATTTTCTGTATATATCAGGGTGAGGAACTCTTGGCTGTCCAGATATTTTAGACTTCAGTGCCCTAGAGCAGTGGTTCTCAACCTTAGGTAACCCAAGTGCTCTTGGACTGCAATTCCCAGAAGTCTTCAATTCCACTTGAGCTATCCAGTGTTTCTGGGAACTACAGTCCAAGAACACCGACATTACCTACGTTTGGGAACCACAGCCCTAGAGTCACAACTGATGGCAAAGGACTGTGAGAACTATACAGTGGTGCCTTGCTTTACGATCGCTCCATTTAATGACGAAACCGCATTATGACAAACTTTTTGCGATTGCTTTACGATGTTTCCTATGGGGGAATTTCGTTTTGCGATGATCGGTTCCCTGCTTCGGGAACCGATTCTTCGCAAAACGATGATTTTCGGACAGCTGATCAGCGGTTTCAAAATGGCCACTGGGTAAACAAAATGGCCCCCCGTTGTTTTCTGGGACGGATTCCTCACTGCACAGGCTGCGAAAATGGCCGCCCTATGGCGGATCTTCACTGGACGGTGAGTTTCCAGCCTTTCAGAATGCATTAAACAGGGTTTAATACATTTCTATGGGTTTTTTAATTTCGCTTTACGACGTTTTCGTTCTACAGCGATTTCGCTGGAACGAATTCACGTCGTAATGCGAGGCACTACTGTAGTTTAAAATATGAAAGGTTCTCCCACTGAGACCAATTTACATACATAAACTTTCAGTTTCCATATGGCACCTTCCAGAAGAGTAGCCATGTAAACATAAAAAAAGAGAAGGCAGCCATTTTGATCCATAAGAACAAAACAAAAGCTAACATTCACAATCACCTGACCAGGACCAACTGCAATTCCATAGGCTTGCAAGCTTTGAGTTCTACAGAAAATGAGTTGTGTTTCGAAATATTGTACTGTATCTGGAGCAAGGCCCTTAGTATGATGGAGGGTTACAGAGAATTTGAAAGTTTGTACACTATTATGAAATCATAGCTGGTAATAAAGTATTGAACACTTGTGCATGTTAACCTATAACAGATATAAGATAAATAAAAGTTTGCAGAGCAAAGCATTAAACAGTTGTGATGGCACAAGTTTATCATGAGCTTGATAATTGCAAAGCAGATCTATAGCTAGGCCAAGATTTATTTTAAAAGCTATTTTATACACAAAGAATCTAAAAGCAAAGATACAAAAAGTACTTTTTTAAAATAAAGGAAATGCAAACAATACAAAAAGTGAAGATGCAAAAACAGCACAAATTTCTGAATATTCAGAAATTTTTAGGGGCTTCATCAGACCTCCTTTCTGACCTCATCACCTGATTAGGGGCCTAGCACAAGTCAAAACTTTCATATTCACCAGACATCATCCTTCAGTATTGTAACTAAAACTTTGAGATCAGTAACTATTCCTATTCTGCATATAGACAAGAAATCTCATGTTAGTTTAAAGGCTAAAAATGTTGTGTTGCTGTTAGCATTATAAGCATTAGCTTCCTTTAGTACAGGTAAACAAACAGATGTGCTAAAAGGAAGCTAATGCGTATAATGTTCTATTTCTATGGTGAAATAGAGCTGGCTTTGACATTGTTCAGCATAAATGCTGAAATTTCCAGTTTCCTCAAAATGCTGACAAATTTTGGAAAGTTTTCCCCACCATCTTTCTTACTGGGAAAGTAGAGACCAAAGCGCCAAAATCAAACGTCCTGCTTCAGGGCTATGCACTGACTCACCTGTACAGTACATGGCAGTTCAGGGTCTGCCAGGATTCTTCCAGGGTCAAGAAGAGGGACCTTCTCCAAGCCTGCTCCCTATCAGGTGTTTTGCAGCACAAATCCCATTCCCCTCAACTACTGGCCATGCTGGTTGCGGAGAATGGGCTTTCCAATCAAAAAGACCCGGAGGGTTACAGATTTCAGAGGAGGACGATCTAGAACCTACTTAACTGGTTGAACAATTTAAATTTGCAACAACCACCTAACTATACGAGGAGATCAATCACGCTGGATAATGACAACGGGGAAGTAAACACTGCAGCATGCGAAACGCAAGCAGGAAAACCGACTAGGGTATTTGAAAACAAAATGTATGCTAATATAGTGTTCACCTGGTTGAATCTTGACATAGATTTTACTTTTGGACGTCCCAGATCATCCCACTCCTTACAAGTCACCACCTTTTGGCCTCCGCGTTTGCCATCATCCCCACCCACCCACCTTCTATGCACGTGATGAATTGGGCTTCTCGTCGCCCAAAGCTTCTGCTGCCGAAAATCTGCAGGTTTTTAAGGGGCTGCGAGGCTCCCGACGAGGGAGAGGGGGTGTGTGGCCCGGATCCGTTCTCACAACTTCTCCCCACCTCGGGAGGACCCACGCCAGCTGGACCGGGACCGACGCGGCTGCTCCACTCAAGCGGGCCACCAGAAACCCGCGCAGGGGGCTTGGCTTTGCCTTCCTCCGCCCCGCTCTCGAGCGGCCCCGAACACCCCCAGGCAAAAAAATAAAAAAGCAGAAGCCGCCTTTCCACCCGTCGCGCCGCCTCCGCTCGCTCGATTGCAGAAAAAAAACCGCCTCTGGCGCCTAGCATGCTGGGGGATGTAGGCCGAAGCAAGGGGGCGGGAAGGTTCGACCCAATCGCGTCGTCTTTTCAGAGCGCCGCCATTTTGAGGGTTCGGCGAGGCTCCTTTTAGCCTTATGGGAACTGTAGTTTTGTGAAGGTACAGAACTTCTTTCCCGGCGTAACACCTTCCCGCTCTTCCTCCACTAAATTTTTATTTATTTTCTAAAAAGGAATTTCAAAATCCCATTTTTCTCTTTATTAACATAAATAGATCCCTAGAAAACTATATAGACCTTTTAGCCTGTTATCTATTCTTGGCAAATTCTATGCAAAGCATTTATTAAACAAACTCAATCATTGGACGGGGAATCAATAATTCTATTGAGCGTAGAATAAATAGGTTTCAGACCGGGCAATTTGGGACTACAGTAGATCTTGTCACATCTTAATATTGTAATAAACAGATAAAGTTGGCCAAGGCTAAGCTTTATATGGCCTTTCTGGATCTAAAGGGTGTGTTTGAGTTCTTAGCAATGTTGGTACAAACCGAAGAATTTAGGCATAGCTTTATTTTAGGAGAAATTACACCAATACTCCTTGTCAGATTAGACTTTTGAGCAAATTTTATCACATGGGAGTAAAATAGGGCTGTGTGGGACCTACATTATTCAACCTTTTTTAAAATGACTTAGCCACCTATCTAGATGGAGTAGAGGGTCACCCCTCCTAAATATGGACCTCACCATTTACCAATATTGTTTTATGCAGACAATGCTGTAGTCTTATCTCAAATGTGCCAAGGACTTAAACAATTACTTATTAAATAATAATTTAAGAAGAGCCCTGCTGGATCAGGCCAAGGGCCCATCTAGTCCAGCTTCCTGTACAGTATCTCACAGTGGCCCCACCAGATGCCTCTGGGAGCACATGAGACAACTAGACACCTGTCTCCCGGTATAATAAACTCCAACTGAATTATAGCAAATCTAAAACTATGGCTAAAACATGGACATTATTCAGCTGGAATGTCAAGGGAAATAATATTGAACATGTTAAACAATTTAAATATTTAGGTACTGTATACAGTTTAATTGCAAACACATCAGCCTTCGGCATTGTAAAAAATTATTGAATTCTGATGGGGTGACAGCATAGACTATAGCCCGTTTCCATTTGAACAAAGGTAATTCTTATGTGTCAGCAACTCTTTAAATGTTTAACACCAAAATTATACTGCAAGTGTTATATGGCATCCCCATTTAGATGAGTGCTATGGACTGCTCAGTGGAACCACGTGTCATTTTTATGGAACATGTTAGGGATGTCAAGATGTGTCTCCTATGCCATTCTGTGTCTAGAAGCAGGCCAGTCCTTGATAAGAAAGTTGTTGCACTTCTTTTGTTTATATCTCTTTCCCACACCCAACCGTGCTTAGGCATCCTTGTAAAGGTGCAAACCTGCTAAGTACAACTCTTCCAACATATAATTCTAGATTCCTGTCTCTGCAGTTTTCAAACCCTTCTGGTCCAGCCAGTGATAATTACAGGTGTTCACAGTGCTCTAGGGATGCACACTTGTTTAAATGGGGAAATATATTGTGCCCACTTCAAAGATGAGGAAGTGGGCTTGATCCACACAAAAAAAATCACATTATCAAAGATGAGGAAGTGGGCTTGATCCACAAAAAAAAATCACATTAAAATACAGAAGTTAGTCTTTAAGGTGCCACATTTTTGTCTTCTTCAATTTTTATTTTTGGCCAAATTTGTTTTGTTGGTGGATCACAATCCCCTTCTTCAGGTGCAAGAATTATGTATCTAGAAAAGTGGATGCTCATTCAAAAAAGTTCACAACAAAAATGTATTAGTTATCAAAATGGCATAATATTTTATCATTGTCCCACATTGTCTCCCAATTTTGCCAGTATGTTGAGACAGGCTAATGCAGCTACTCCTTTGAAAACTCCTTTATACGTAAGCCGTACTGAAAAACATGCCTTGCTGCCAGTTAAACATGCTCAGGATTATTCTACTGGTTGATCATCTTTTCGCAGAACTAGTTCGGTGATTATTTTGACTTGACTCCAGCAAAGACTCCATTAGGAGGGCATGACGGTATTTGTAGTTTGGGTGCCCAGGCGCAAACGTAAGATGCGTCAGGAAGTCAACTGTTTGAGTGGAAACGATGCTAGGCGCGCAAAGCTTTCTGGGAATGGTAGTACTTCGGTGTTGAGAAAATACTGTTACCCGTCATTCTCTGCGCTGAATGAGTTCCGCCTTTCGGTTGCTAAGTGACCGCAGGGGCGGTAAGTTTATCTGGAAGTGAGCGGGAAGAGCCCTGGAAAAAGGGGTCGCGGTGGGGAAGTGCGGAGGGTGACTAACAGGGGGGAGAGGTTAAATTATTACAAATGACTGAACAGGTAGGTAAATTGTGTGGCCTCCCTTGGAAGGCCGAGCTAAAACATCGTTATTAATTGGGCTTCCAGTTCAGGAATAAAGGATAAACGCAGGCTCTTGTTTTAAATTAAGCCCGGAAAATTGTGAATTTCTCATATATTTTATGCAGTTTCCACACTTTCTGATCTGTAGACTCTCTACCTATCTAGAGTGGCCTTCATGTTATAAGGGTTCAATGATTCAAATAGCGGGAGGTGAGATGGATAAATATTACTCAGTGCTTTTTCTCAGATAATTATTCCTTATTATACTGTGTCTTTATTCTCAAAGAGGTGTGCTAGCGTGGTCACAGTAAAAATGTGAGATTAAAAGCAATTTCTAGCTTGAATAACATTCACAGTAAAAATGTAAGATTAAAAGCAATTTCTAGCTGGAAGTAATAACATAAAAGCAAATAAAGTGAACAAACAGTTATTTGGTTCACTTTATTTATTTTGTTGTTTACTTCAAGCTGGAATTTGCTTTTAATCTTACATTTTTACTGTGACCACACTAACACACCTCTTTGAGCATAAAGACACAGTATAATAAGGAATAAAGGAATTATTTGAGAAAAGGCACTGAGTAATATTTAACTGCGAATATACTTGGGAATGATCAGTATTTAAATTTTGCAGGAAGTCCTGGTTGTGAAAGGTATTTCTTTTTTTTGTAAGCCAGCACTATAGGGCTGCAGAGTTACAGTTATCCAAGACAAACCATTAAAAAGCATATCTTTGCCCGGAGATGGTACCATTGTCTTTGAAATGATTGGAGGCTTGATTCAGGATGTGACTACTTTGCCATTTATCTTGATCTTCTATTAATTCCATTATCCACCATCATTTGTTGTCTTGGTACTGGACCTGATCCAGATTGCAATTTTTTTTATTGACTCCAGTAGTAATGTGATCTGTTACCATTAGCAGATAGTGACGGTTTATCTCTGTGCTGTAAAATTCATACCTACTGATTTTTAGGGGTGAAGAACAAGCCAGGCTGCCTTTTTTTCCTGTTCAGTTAGTAACTCTGCCTCAGGTTAAGACCTCTCGAGCTTACCTATGAGACTTTTAAAAGACTTTTTTAAAACATTGCAAAATTATATTTGTACTTGCTTTTGATAGCTGGGGTAAAGATATTAAAAGTGTGTAGGTTTTGCTAGGTAAATTAGCATAATAATGCTTTTAACATGTATCTGTGTCTCTGTAGCTAACCCTGTCATTTTTATTTGTTTTTTCATACTCTGTAATTTTAGTAGCCAATCATTACAGTGTTTTACTCCTCTTCTAAACTCAGTACATTGTTATTACCACCACCCACATTAAAAAAACATTTTTTTTCAACTTTTTATGGCATGATGAATTCTACTTATCCCAGAGTATGTTTGCATCAAGTTAGAATTTTCTTGGGTTGTCAACATATTTTCTGTTAGACATTCTGTGACTTCAACAGCTGTATAACTGGAAGACATTCCTATCATGGGGGACAATGGTGGGGGAAGCAATGCTTACTGATCTTTTTGTTTACTACTTTGATATTAAAGCACAGGAGTTCTGTCACGCAAAGCTTTAGCAATTATGTTTGTATAGTAAAGCAGTTCAGCGTTCTTATCGTTTGTTGCTTGATTTTTTTGGTGCAAGAATTACTATTTGTTTATGATAATAGAATTACAGAATTTCTAGCTTGGGTTCATTGCAGCTCTTTCAGCTGTCACAGAATGGATTGTGTTACATGCCAGAATAACACCACACTTTTCTTAGTTGCTATACTTATTTGAAGTTTGATTTGTATGATTCCGCAAGTTTGAAGTGAAAGGTGTTGCTACTGCCTGGCAGCAAGCCTTAAATTGCTTCCAAGTGGTACTTCTTAGGAAGCTAAAGGAGCTTCAGCCATTTATAATAACATTTAAAATTAGCAGGTTTGGAATACAGATTTATGTGTCTCATAGTGCTGATCTCTTGCTTGTATGTGCTTACCAAATACAGGAAGACAACATTGGTGTGAGTAAGGCCAATTCATTTTGCATGCTTATCAGAGGTAAAGTCACATTTGTTTCAATAGAGCTTACACTCAAGTAAGTGTGCACTGGATTTTCTTTATGGCTTGTGCATTTCCAGTTGTACTCCAGTGTTGCAGTCAAAATGGTTAACATTTGGAAAATCAGTTGTAATTCCAAGCTTTTATGGTTATCAGGCATTTTAAAAGGTCATGCAGATGGAGCTAAGTTTTTTGGCAAACGGTTATGACCTTCTGAACACAAATAGCTGGCTAGTTTCCAGTTTAGGAATTGACACAGTGTTTTGTGGGTAAATTCAAAGTGGTATTTTAAGAAAAGGCAACAGAGTTTTGTGCCATTTTAAAGACTAACTAGTTATATTTAACATAAATTTGTATGGACTGAAGCCCATTTGTTCAGCTGCATCTTGTTCGAAATGAGTCTTAAGGATTCTGAATCTGTAATATACTTTTTGCAACTGCCATGCTATGTACACTGTTTACTTTGGACCATGTTGAATAGCTCTTGGGTTTTAATATGAATTCTAGTTCTCTTTCAAGCATCTCATCAATACCATTTGACTTTTAAACAGAAGGAGCCTGTTGTGATTATACCTGCAGAGATGGAGCAAACAGTAAAAGCTAGCTGATTCTCTCTCTCTCTCTCTCTCTCTCTCTCTCTCTCTCTCACACACACACACACACACACACACACACACACACACACAATCAATCAATCAGCCCCAAAAGAAAATTCAATGGGCTTGCTTTATGTTAATTAACTTATTTGTTTATTTACATTTTTATCTCATCTAGCTAGTAGATAGGCTACTACTGTGGGCAGCTACCGAAGAGAATAAAGTAATAAACAATAATATCAAGAACAACAAGAAAACAAAAGGTTCCAAAATACAACCAAAGGAACCATGTAAAATGCAAAAATGTTAATGGCAGGTGGACTGTCAAGGAGGATACATAAGAATACATAATAAAGGGTAGACTGTAGAAAGGCTTGGGAAGAACACCCAGATATTCGGTTGCCTCTTAAAAGCCAGGAGGGATGGGGTCAGTTGCACCTCTGGTGGGAAAGGGTTCCAGATTGAAGTGGCCATCACAGAGAAGTTGCGGTTTCAGGTGACTGATTTCTGGGCTAATTTGGGGTGGCCAAGTGGAGCCTCCCAATATAAGAGGAATGGGTAGGATGGGTAGGTGTTTTGAGGTAGATGTGCTCAGCCAGGTTTTGCTAAAATTTGTTTCACTTCATGCATGTGTCCATGAAATTATGATCTTGTGATTTGTAGGTTCTAGAAACCTTGGAAGTGGAACATGATGCAATTCAGCTCTTCTGCCATACTGTCAAGGGTGCTTCTGATCCTGACTGTATTAGCACATTTACAAATTAATACAGTGAAACCAGTTACCTTGAGAGGTGCTAAGTGCTCCAGTACTGGGGGCATTCAAGAGAAACTTGGACAACCTGGCAGATATCCTTTGACTTGTATTCCTGCATTGAGCAGGGGGTTGGACTTGATAGCCTTATAGGCCCCTTCCAGCTTCACTTCTCTATGATTCTATGAAATTAAGAACTGGACTTTTTGCTCCTACTCTTTCCAGTTTTGCTCCTACTCTTTCCCCTCAAATCTTTTTTACTTAATAAATTTATTTATTTAAGACATTTATAGTAATAATTGTGTGTTGATCTTGATAACTAATAGTCTTGATAACTAATTTTTGATGCAAGTATTGCAAATTGAACAACATTGGGATTTACTGCTTCTAATCTTGGAGAACAATGTGATTTTTGGATTAAAAAGAGTATAGAAAATCAAGTATCTAGAATAGATGTCTTCCTAGAATTTCATAAAGAATGTAGTGAAGTTGTTGTTGTTTAGTCATTAAGTAGTGTCCGACTCTTTATGACTCCATGGACCAGAGCATGCCAGGCGCTCCTGTCTTCCACTGCCTCCCGGAGTTGGGTGAAATTCATGTTGGTCGCTTTGATGACCCTGTCCATCCATCTCGTCCTCTGTCGTCCCCTTCTCTTGCCTTCACACTTTCTCAACATCAGGGTCTTTTCCAGGGAGGCTTCTCTTCTCATGAGATGGCCAAAGCATTGGAGCCTCAGCTTCAGGATCAGTCCTTCCAGTGAGCACTCAGGGTTGATTTCCTGTAGTGTAGTGAAGTAGCTGATTTGAAAGATTTTTCAGGTAACCCACAAGCACTGAATCCAGTTCTTTTAAGGAAGGGATTATGCTAGCCAGACTTTTGCTTTGAGTAATTTAATTTTATTGGCTTGTATTGGGTTTAATTTGTGCCAACAATATCTTGTACGTGTTTTACCTGGAATAATCACATCACAGAAAGTCTGAAAATGCTGAGACACTCTTCTTTTATTCCATTAATGCTGACAAGTGGGGCATCTGCCAAAAAAAGTAGGACAAGCCAGAAAATAGATGAGGACATTTACTTTAGAAGAGACTTGATCCAAGCCTGAGCAGGTGCCATAAAGTAACCACAGACTGTTTAATCGCATTGGGGTTGGTAATGTTCTTGTCTTTGTGCCGCCATATTCAAATGCAAAGGCAGTCTGCTTCATGAGCCAAGCCACAGTGGCATTCTTGCAGGCTGCCAACCTAAAGACATGGCATTGAAACAAGGCACAAAAACACTGGTGTGGCTTTAACCCTTTTGCAGCAGACAGAAGGGTCCAGGCTTGTATTTTGTGTTTGTTTTTGTGGCACTCTGGCAACTTCATGAGAATAGTCAGTGGCCTCTGACACTTCTGAGTCATGTGAATAGTGGCATCCTAATTTATGAATAAGGGAACACAGGAGGGGTGGGGCGATTGGGACAGATGTGGAGCTGACATCTTAAATGAATGCAGTCAACTCCACTCCTTCGCAGAGATGAGTGTTTATCAGTAAGAACTCTTGAGTACTAGAGAGGTCCCCAGGAACTGTCAGGTCACATTATCCCTGCTTGGTTAAATTATGAATTATGTACAGTACTTGTTTTATTAAGTTCTGTGATGTCAAGTTTCAAGGAATGATTTTTCTACAAGAGGAGGTTATCTTGCACTGTTTGGGAAGCCTTGAACAGCGCAGTTTGAAGTTCTGTAAATTCTTGCTTTCACTCTTTGCTGCACCTCTACAATTTATTTGCAGTTTTATAGCATATCAATAGCCTATGCTGAAGCATGTGTACCATTCACTTAATCTGCCAGTTTGACATTGAAAAGTTGCACAAAGTCATGTAAATGCATGTTTACTGTGCTTCCGCCTATACTGGACTGAAGAGAGATTTCTCTGCTGCCTCCCCAAATGTTTTAAAAGGTGTCACAAGATTCATTATTTTTATCTATCTATCTATCTATCTATCTATCTATCTATCTATCTATCTATCTATCTATCTATCTATCTATCTATCTATCTATCTACTTACTTACTTACTTACTTACTTACTTACTTACTTACTTACTTACTTACTTACTTACTTACTTACTTACTTACTTACTTACTTACTTACTTACTTACTTACTTACTTACTTACTTACTTACTTACTTACTTACTTACTTACTTACTTACTTACTTACTTACTTACTTACTTACTTACTTACTTACTTACTTACTTACTTACTTACTTACTTACTTACTTACTTACTTACTTACTTACTTACTTACTTA